AAATATAGTACTATAGCTTCCCCTCTAACTGACCTCATGCGCCTTGACACCCCATGGGAGTGGGCCGAAGAGTGTGAGGCGGCCTTCAAGAGATTGAAGTATGCCTTCCTTAACGCACTACGAAGTCCTCAAACTTCCGGATCCTGAACTGTCCTTTGTAGTGACCACATACGGCAGCCATAATGGCATAGGCGCTGTCCTTGTGCAGAAGGAGGGGAAAAAGTTGAGGCCGACCGAGTACATCAACAAAAAAAGATGCCATCTCAAAAACTGGCTACGTCCACGTACGAGCGAGAGCTCTATGCCCTCTACAGAGCGTTGGTCCAAGCACTACCTCCTAGGCAGATTTTTTCATGTGAGATCTGACCATGAGACGCTGCACTGGATTAAGACACAGCCTGCGCCCTCCAATGCATTCAAGAGGTGGATTGAAGTCATAGATATGTGTAACTTCAAGCTCGGCCCTCTGAAAGGGGAGTACAACAAAGTGGCTGATGCACTATCGCGTAGGGCAGACTATCTGGGCGCTCTAGTGACTGAGTTTGGGATTTCTGACGATGTAACCTGCTCTATGGTGAAAGCCTATCAAGAGGACGGGGTCATGTATGATATCATCCACAAACTGGACGCTAAAGACAAGGCTTCTTCCAATGAGTTTGTGATGGTTGACGGCTTGCTGTTCCTTGAGAAGGCTAGGAATAAACGTTTGCGTGTTCCAAATAGAGAGTCTTTGCGTAGTTTATTTTTAGGTGAGTGTCACGTTGCAACTGGAAATTTCAGCTATAGAAAGACAGCTGCAAACTTAGTGCAGATATTTTGGTGGCCCACAATGATGGATGATGCAAAGAAATATGTAGAGGCATGCCAGGTTTGCCACCGTGACAAGCCACGGACGCAGGCACCACTTGGGTTTATTAAGCCCTTGCCTATCCCTGCTGGTCCTGGCCAGAGTGTGTCCATGGACTTCATTGTGACCAGCAAGAACGGTAAATGGCACATCTTCGTCATTGTGGACAGGTGTAGTAAGTATGCCAGACTAATCACCATGCCAGAAACAGCTAGGACTAACCACGTCATCAAGCAGTTTATGGACAACTGGGTACGTGACTTCGGTCTCCCGAAGTCCATCACTAGTGACAGGGATGTAAGATTCACAAACAAACTGTGGCAAAGTACAGCCCAACAGATGGGCACCCGACTGCAAATGACATCAGGGAACCACCCTGAGTCAAGTGGCCAGACCGAGCAGATGCTCCGGGTAGTGCAGCACTTGCTTCGGCATTATATTAAGCCGAGTTAGGATGACTGGGATGAGAAGTTACCTCTCATCGCCAGCCTGTACAATAATGCTGTGCACAGCACTACCAGCATGACTCCCAACCAACTGCATCTTGGTTGGAAGCCCAGAACTGCTCTTGACTTTCTGATGCCCGAAAATCACCCAACTGCAGCACCAGGCAGCATAGAGTTTGTGTCAAGTACGAACAGATGCTGCAGCAGGCTGTCGAGCACATCAAGCAAGCTCAAAATACCATGGTTGCATCTGAGAACAGACATAGACAACCGTCTGCATTTCAGGCAGGTGAACGAGTTTGGGTAAAGTCATGTGAGTTGGGACAGGAGTTGGGAATCTCATGTAAACTGATGCCACAATACTTTGGACTCTGGGAAGTCTTAGATTTAGTAGGAGATCAACCAGATGGTCCATCATATGCCATTCGCATTCCTGGTCACCTCGCATACACCCTGTTTTTCATGCATCCAAGTTGGGACCTTTCGCTGAAACAGATCAATTTCCCTCCAGGCGATCAATGCTGGCCCCAACCATGGACGGACATGTAGATATTGATGACATTGTTGAGCACAAGCTGATGACTTTGCCCAAGCCTCCAGGCAGGGGACACCCTCCGAAATTGCAGATGCAGTATCAAGTGCGGTTCAGACATTATACTGATCCTAAAGAAGGCCGGTGGTTTACAAGAGACGAATTAATGAAGACTGCACCCCAGATTATTTCAAGCTACGAAAGAAATTTGAAAGGGAAGCAGCCTGCTGTATAAGAACTTCTCAGAGGACTATCGAAGTAACAGAGGAGGGAGTGTGAGGGTTTTTCTCCCCGACATACCAGCATAAAGCCGTGCAACAGGCACGTGCCCGCCCTAAGTGAAGTCAGGCCCTCTGAATCTCAATGAGCCCTGAACTTGTCAATTTTTGCAAATCTCGGTGGGCGCCAGACAGTTGCCACATGCCAATTGGTTACATCCACTTTGCTCGTGAGAATCAGAAATATTTGTAAGCCTTCCAGGCTTTTCCAGCAACGTGGTCAAAGCAGGGAGCACCACACATTTGTGCCTGGGTGGTTGGGCATGCCTAACCAATTCGGTCCCAGGCCACTGTCTAAAGGGGCCTGGTCCGGGCTCCGAGGGCAGCAGGCGGCCACTTGCGTGTAGATGCGGCAGTGCTGCTGGAGCGTACGCTCGCGGGCTGCTGCGCTAACACTCGGTGCGGACGCTTGCGGACGTTGAGAGGGAACAGGGCGCTGCTGAGGGCAGAGCCATAGCCCAGGCTGGGACTTGGACATAGCCAGTGGAGGTGGCGGTGGTCTTCGTGTATGGGAAGGAAGACGTCGGTAGACAAGACAAGGGAGAGAGAGAGAGAGAGAGAGAGAGAGAGAGAGAGAGAGAGAGAGAGAGAGAGAGAGAGAGAGAGAGAGATGAGGATGATGATGTGAGGCCACATGCCTGGTCGTGGCGATGGTCTACAGGGTCGACATCTTCATGTACTTCGGTTGTTGCTGCTGACGTCAACAGGTTGCATTGTCAATTCGTAGGCTGGTAGTAGCTGTGTGATCGTAGTCTGGGCGCTGAGCGCCAAATAGGAGGAAGGGCTCTAGATACATACGTTGGTGGTGGCGAGAGTATGCTCTCATTGACATTCGGATTCGGTGCTTTGGTTCTCCGTTGGTGGAATATCAGTGCATTTCTGCTTTCTGGACAGTGTTGGACTTTCTGACTTTCAATGTGATTTTGCATTCTGGATTTCTGTCATTTCGCTATCACTCATTTTCCTTGCAAATGGCAGAACCAGAATCATTGTCCCAATCCCTCTTCTACTGCCAGCACAACTCGAGGTCCACATAGCCATCGTCGTCCTTCGCCTTCCTCTTCATAGGCCGAGGCTATGGCGGACTACTAGGGCCCTGCCCTGACGTGCAAAAGACAACACAAAGCAGCTATGGCTGCTTCCACTCAGGCCGCCATGCCTGACTCTGCCTCGAAGCTTCTTGAGGTAGATCTACCCCAACGGGGGGCCTTCCAGATGCAGCGCCCACCAAGGTGATGAAGATGTCGTCCACCATAGGAAGGTAAGTACCCCTGGCGCTCCCTTCTCCTAGTCCCTTCTTCCTCCTCCTCCTACCCGAGCTCCTCCACCATAGCCAAGGTGGGAAGCTGGGCGTTTCTCTTCCCCACAGCGCTGCTCCACCCAGCGCTCCAGCAGTGTATCACCAAACTTGCACGCAGCAAATGAGCACTTCGCCCCTCCTGGAGATATAGCGGCCCCCTTGCCTCTTGGGCGGTGACTTCCAGGCCGCGCGGCTCCAAGCAACCGGTATGTCCTCCCTTTCGGAGGGAAACATCCTTGCAGACTCTGATATCCCCCGTACAGGCCCTAGTGGACTGGTACCCGCCTAGACCTAGCCTACAACTACTGGGCCTCTAAAAATGCCAACTTTTGTCTTCTTCTGCTTGGCCTCGAGTACCCGACACATATACCACTACTAAGTGTTGCGGGCCTATTCCCGCCACTTGAGCGTTTTCCCGCCACTTGAGCGTTTTCCCTACCTCGTGCGGTACTGGCCTACCTGCTACTTGAGTGTTTTTCCGCTGCTCTAAGTGTCGCAGGCCTATTCCTGCCACTTGAGTGTTTTCCCCGCTGCAACCCTCAATGTCACGGCCACAGGTGAGTACCGGCCCTAAGGGGCCTCCCAAGCAAGCAGGTACCCTTGCGGGTCACACACACACTCAAGTCGTCAAGCACTCAGACAGGCACACAGACCAGCAAGCACGCACACACACAGACTTGGAAAACTCAGCAGAAAGCAGGAATCTCAGCAAGGCATTCATTCCAGTGGCAAAACTCAGAAATCAGCTGTGTTCTCAGTCCGTGTTTGGGCAGGTCCTTACACTAGGGTACAAAAGAAAATGGGACGTTGTACCGGGGCCGGACTTCTGAGACGCGTGCATCCTTTCACAATGTTGAATACACATGAGGATTGGAGTGCTCAATCAATCAAGCATCGGATGGAAGAGTAAGCTTGTCAAGGAGACCCAGAGCTCAATGATCAGTGTATGTAAATTTGGTATAATAGCACCTCCAAATTTTGATTGAGCTCATCTGATTCGAGCACGCCCAATGAGAACTCAATGCTCATCGGACTTCGTCAATGACAGTTAAATCCACATGCCCACACATCTACCGTGTGCACCCAAATAGAGTGCCTGATCATTATTGCCGTATCTAGACCAAAAGTTGCCCCAAATACAGCTATAATGAGCGGGCGTTCTATTTGGGTGAAGATGGTAGCACTACTCAGCACAGGCACAATACCACAAGATTCAACGGAAGAAAGTGGAGCAAAACACCAAAGGAAACTCGTTTATTGCAATGACTTCAATGTTCATCGGACTTCATACGTGGCAGTTCAATGATGAACTTAAATCCACATGCCCACACATCTAGCACTACTCAGCACAGACAGAATTAAACAGGATTCAAAGGTAGGCAGTGGAGGAAAACACCAAAGAAAATCTTTTATTGCCATGGAAAGGAGTGAAAGACGATGACGAAGGCGAAAAAGAAGCAGATGACAACAAGACGACGACATCGAAGAAGAGGAAGAAGAGGGGGACAACAATAAAAACAACAACAGCAGCTGCACTCCTGATGCATGGGATACAGAAATGAAGTGAATTGCCCACGAGCTCAGGGCGAGAACTCACCAATAAATGAGTGATCTGGCTTTGTCAAATGACACTGCAAGCTTTTTGCGAAGTGCTTCACTGCAACTTTCTGCAGACCACAAATAAACAGGAATTAGAAAAAACACAGGAATTAGAAAAACCACAGGAACAGGAATACCTTTCTCGGCCTTTTGGCTAAGATCAAGTGTAGTATCTGTTCTGATCAGTTTAATATCTGATCCGTGACCCATCGGGTCACACGATATTAAATTAATTTTTCAGGGCTACGGAGGGGCCATAAGGGCAGGCTTGCCTGCTCGGTCCATTCAGTGTTGTCTTCGTATTGCACTGCAGCGAAGCGTAGCGCGGCCCATAAAAAAAAAAAAAACAAAAAAAAAAAACGAAAAACCACAGGAATTAGAAAAACTCAAATCTTGTCCTCCGGGACATCCGTTAAAATTGGAATGATACGGAGAAGATTGGCATGGCCCCTCGGCAAGGATGACACATTGACACCCAATCGAGAAATGGTCCATTTTTTTCTTCTTCAGCTACCTATGGTGTCCAACCCAACAACCCGAGGGAATAGAGGAACAGAGAACACAGTATAAATTACCATGAACAAGTTGGACCTGGCACGACTTCATCTGCGTCAAAGTGGCTATAGAATACAGACAAAGTCATCTGTTCAGACTTCCACAATGCTGTAGCATGCTGAGGCTGCTAACACATCTACCAGGACAAAAACCAAACACTTGCGCACCCATAGGCGGTCGAATTGAGCCGAAGTTTTCTCGAATAATCATCTTGATACAATAATTCTCTATAATAATAAATTGCAAGGCATAGGGCCTCGATATGCCCTACAGGGCCCAATTTTCACACAGTCGGCCGCCCTAAGTGAAGGCAGGCACGACCGAGGCCCTACAGGCCATTTCAGGGTCACCACGCAACTGGGGAAATTCAGGCAGTTGCGCAGCGCCATCGGTTGGAAGCACCCAGGCCCAGGCTGCCTTTCATTGCATGTAACTAAGGCAGGCCCTGGGCCAAATACACAAAGTGGACCGAACAAAGGCTGAGGGCAGTTGGGTGCTGGTAACCGCCTCAGGCCCTGGGCCTGTTTCCTTCGGACTGAGGCTCAGCCTCCCTGAGCCTACCGGAAGCCTCTGGGCCGGGGCCCAGTACCGCAGCACAGCACGCAGCAGCAGGCCACTTCGATATAGGGAAGGGCCTGCCCACGCATTGGACATTCGGGTACTGGCTGCTTTGTGCGCAAGAGCTGCTGCACTATCGCCTGCCAGGCTCACGCGCTCACGGGCGAGCTGGAAGGAGCAGGCAGCCATACCCAAGCTGCGCTGCTGTATACTGGATGGGGCGCATGGTGGTCCTTGGGTGCAAGTGGCATCTGTGAGTTGGGGAACGAGGTTGTGAGTGATACGGGAGACATACCTGGTGCTTGACGCGTGCGGCATTGGCCGAGGTCTGCTCGTACTTGGGAAGCTGTTGACGTCATCAGCGGCATTGTAGTCTAGGCTAGATAGGATCTGCCATTCGTAGTCTGGGCGCCGAACGCCAGATAGGATATCAACATTGGTTCTTCGTTGATGATGATGAGACTATTCCAGCATTGTCAATTATGAGCTTTTGGTGTGCTCTTATTTGGGGAATCTCGTGATGCAATTCTGCTTTTGGTTCGAGGCCACGACTATCTGGTCTCATATGTATGATGCTGTTGATTGCTGAAGTTCGCTATTGCTCATCTTCCTTACAATTTGGTATCGGAGCTGTGGTCCGGTGCGCTAATCTGGCGCTTATCTTCTGCCTAATGCGGTACATGCACGTGGTGTGTACGGTGAGCGACCATGCCGTGAGACGTGTGTAGTGAGGAGGACGAAGATAAGTGGCGACCCAGGAGGTGAGGGGTATCGCCAGGAAGGCTGTGTGGTGATTATTGGGTGTTCGCAGTGTGATGAGAACTATCGGGTGTGTGATTGATGCTGAGGTGGAACGGTTGTGCAATGCTGGTTGTGCCGAAGCAGCAATTGGTCATCACAATCAACATCGGGTCATCTGGAGAGAATATCTGTGGTTGGGGGCAGCTATTTTGAGGTACGTTGCACCTAACCTTATCTACCCTCTTCGACACTTCTTACCGTGAGGATGTGTGTTCTGTCTTGAGAGTCCTCTGATGTGAGGAGTCGTGTGCGCTCAACCTTGAGAGTCGTCCACCTTCACGTGGAGCATCTGGAAGGAGAGGGCGGAGCTATCTGAAGGGCCCTGGACGAAGCACTGGGTCACGGTCACCATGCCAACCCGTCGGGAGTAGAGCACGCATGCTTTGCTGCTTTGTCCTCTGTCTGCTCGCTGCGCTGTAGAGGGGTTCTGAAGGGCAGGCCAGCCCTAGGGGACAGACGAGACCGGGCGTCTATAAATAAGCACCGGGGGGATACCTTCCATTGGCTGTGATCGTCGTCCTGTTTGTGACGTTAAACAATTCTTGAGGACTTCGGGGGCCGTCTATAAAAACGCCTCCTGATCAGCCAATCGGTCGGTGTAAGGCTCGCTGCACGCGAGGATAAATACGGTGCAGGGCTGGCCAGCTCAGCAGGACTCGGGGCACAGGGGTGGGCCGTGTGCACACCTTCAGACACGCATGCTAAAACAGATGCACAAGGCACATGCGGCAATGATAGAATCTGAGAACAAACACCGCCGCCCTTCTACATTACAGATAGGGGACAGAGTCTGGGTAAAATCCTCAGAACTGGGACAGGAGCACGAGATCTCCAGTAAGCTCATGCCACAGCACTTTGGACCATGGGAGGTTCTAGATGTTGTTGGGGAAGATCCGGATGGGCCATCCTATGTTATTCGGATCCCTGGTCATCTCAGCACTTACCCTGTCTTTCACGCCTCCAAGCTTGCACCATTCACGGAAACTGACCAGTTTCCCTCTCGTCGCTCTATGCTGCCCCCAACCATGGATGGAGAGGTCGACATCGACGACATTGTTGATCACAGGGAGATGCCAATTCCAAGACCGACAGGCCGCCCGGACAATGTGTGTATCCTTGGTGTCGGCTACAAGTGCGTGATGGTGCTCCGCAACGATCCCTTTCCTTGGCTCCGTGAGCCGTGGTCAATGGCGTCAGCCAGCGGCGCGAGGGCGATGGACGCCGTTCACATCCGGAGATGGACGCCGTTCACATCCGGCGATGGACACCATCCACGTCCTCCGCACGTAGACCCGCCCGCCAACCCCGTCCTCCGCGTGAAATTCTGCCCGCCAATTTCGCCCCGGCACTTTCGCGCGCCTGCTACCCTGTGAGCGCTAACCCGTCGGTGCTAACGCTCCATCGCGACATCGTTAGTATGGCGGCCAAGCACCACCTACTTGTGGGTCCCTGTTATCTTTTTCATTTATCCATTTCATTGAGAAGATTCGAACACCTCTGTCTTAAGTTGGTGAGGTATGACTAAAATGCCCTTCAGAAAATGCTCAAATAAATTGAAATAATAGAATGCCCTTTGTCAGAAGTCTCTGCACGGTATGGATGACTCGCTGCATGACCTTGCACCAAAACAGTGCCAGATGTTCAGGGGCATTCTTTTTTTTTTTGCCAGGGCCAGCAGTATATCCTTACACTGAAACAGTGCAGAATCTGCAGATGTTCAGGGACTTCTTTCTTTTCGTTTACACTGAAACAGTGCAGATGTCCAGGGACTTCTGTTTCATGGCCAGGGACTTCTTTTTTTTGTAACAGGAATCAGGATGCCATTCTAAGTTCGGCAGGCATAACGTTGAAGCTTGTAGCCTTCTTACTGATGGAACACCACTGCAAAAAGCCTTTGCAAATGAAAGTTGCTGCCCACTTACTGATGAAAAACCACTACAAACAAGCCTTTGGAAAGGAACACAATGTATAGATGGGTAAGAGAGTGGAGAAGCAGAAGCTTTGGGGATTTATGTTGTTTAAATGGATGCATGTTAACAAGAGTACCACAGAATGTGCCTCCCCTCGATTGATTGCCTCGCGTAGCCGTCCTGATGGATTCACTGGCTCGTTCACACTGCTCTGAGGAGTGACTGTTCAGTCAAAACAACACATCACATAGTCAATGAGACAACTTGGACCTAGGCATCAGCAGCATGGAACAGAATTCAGTCATACAAAATTACAAGAAATTGAACACAAGCAAGGAAACCGCATGGAAGAAACTCAAATCACAACCTCCTTACCTCGGTGAAATCTCTACCAGTGTACACATGACAACCAGGCTAACCATACAAACAACAAAGCATTTATCACACCAGCACAATAATTGACGAAATTGAAGTCTCTTGGATGATGAAAAGCCCCCTTCTTGCCTGCAGTCAGTGCAGTGGCTTAAGGCAGCACCTTTGCATTTTTTTTCCCCCCCAAACCGACACTGCCCCTTCTATTCTGGGCGGCATCAGTACGGTTGCTTATTACCGGCAAGCATGTTTCCACAGAAAAAGAAGGGAAGAGTAAGAAAGAGTTCAGTGTTACCCTTGTGGCACTAGCCGCCTATGCAAGGGTGGGACTGGTATGGAGCGTCCCGCCCCCCAAACGATGGCCTTCCTTCAGGGGTGCTCCTGCTGGCCGGGAGGCTTACTGGCAGCACCCAGTCACGCAGCAGGAGGATCCCAAGAAAGATGCGGCGCAGGGGGGGGGGGGGGGGGGCGGGGTTGGTTTCCTGGCAGTCTCTCAGGCCTCATGTCTCTAGCCCATGTTCATAACGTTTCAATGACTTTATTTCCTTTGATATCTACTCTTTTTTGTTTCGTATTCCTCATCCCCAGGTCCCATTTACCATCCAGTCCACCTTTTTGCCTATGCACTTGCTGTATCTTGCCCGCCCCTCCTTGATCCCCATGCCCTGATTATTCCCTGTCTTGCTTGAAGCATAGTCTACGTCTAACAGCAATTTCACCAGCTTTTCTCCCCTTTTTCCTTTCCTTTTTTTGCCTAATCGTCTTTCCAGTTTTCTTCGCGATCTCTTCCCCTCGCCCCTCTTCCTTTTGCCACATCCCTATCCCCGTGCCACCTTCTTTCCGTCCACCCTCCTACCCTTTTTCTTTCTATCATTCTCCCCTCCTTCCCTACTCTGTTTCACTTCCCTATTATGGTACATCTATCGTCATTCCAATTTTCTCTGTGCCCCTATTCCCTTGACTATGTTACAAATTGGTTTCCGCCCGAGGAATGTATCGTAGCAAGGATTACTACCGTTCCTTTTTTTTTCCTTCTGAAAAACAGAACCTTGCGGTTCTGGCTCCTTTCCATTCTGGGGAGCATCAGTCCGGTTCCTATTCCACCGGCAAGTCAGAAAAAGATTACAAATATGCACTCACACACGCTCCTCCCCATTATGGTGGAGCAGCCCAAGTGGACAGCATTGATTACTTCTCGAGGGAAGGATGTACCACCCCTCACCCCTGCCTAAGCTAGCCTACAAGATGTACTTTGAGGTTGGATGGTGGTCTGACTTGTACTACATCTGTTTGTTCTTTCCAACTTACCTATGAGTGCCTTCACTGCTACTTGGCTGTCAAATTTAGCTTAGGTACTGGAGCTGCTAGCTTGGCTACTTACTGTCGATCTTGCTAAAACCCTAAGCCCCTAGAGGCCCTGTCTCATACTTACTACTCTCAGCTGTTGGGCTGTCAGGTTTACTTGGACAACTGAGCAGTATGAAACCTCCACCTTCTAACCCCTTCAAGGCCGGTCTTGCTAAGGCCCTAAACCCTAGACCGACCAAGGATTATAAGCGCCTACGATCCGAACTGCAAAGGCTTAAACCCTTGGGAATGTTGCCTTTGCGAACTAGAGTGGTTGGTTGTTCTCTGGCCGAAATAAATGCGACTGTTCCTAGTTGCCTATTTACTAGACCCTGTCTTCGTCGGTCCTCTATTTATTTCCAGATTACAGTGGTCAGATGCTCGCTGCGAACTAAACCTGGTTTTTGCCGGTCCTCTATTTATTTCCTAACTACTCTGCTGTTCCTCCTCCAGGTGCACCCCCTCCTCGTCTGAGGCACCGATGTGCTAACTTGTGCCGTCTTCCTTAAACTTTAAGAATCTGCTTCTTATTATTGCTATTTTCCTACCTAACAGACATTTTTCCTCGAAAGTTTTTTGGCTGATCTCTCTTTTTTGGGGATCTGTTAACCTTTCTTGTTTCTTTAGCTCCTTTTTCCACTGCGCTCTGATTTTTGTTTCTACGATTTCCTTCGTCTCCTTCCATGCCTCTTTGCTTGTTGTCATCTGGTTGCCGAGTGCTCTTTTGCATCTGGATCTCCATAGTACCCATAATGCCGCTCTTCACAATAAATCCGCTATGATCCTTTCTTCCTCTTCCAGGTTTCCTTTGTATCTCTTGCTGAAAGCAGATAGTCCATTTGTGATGGGAACGGATTTAGGGCGATATTGGACCACGATGTCTTAACTGCTTCCCATATTGTGTCCGCGTGGGGGCACTCAATCAGGCAGTGATGAGTGATTCCACTTTGTTATCATTACACATTCTGCAGAGGGAGGACTGTTTGGTTCTTTGCTCGGCCTTCCTACGCCTGTCTAGCCATTCGTTGGCAGGAACTTCCCAGTACAGAATCAGCCAGGCTTCTGAATCTAGTGGGTTTTATGCTGCTATAGTGATCCCATGGGATCTTCCTAGGCCATCCGTACTCTTGCCCTAGATGTTTGATCCATCTTTCTGAGATAACCAGATGCGGGTCTATGGTCTTATTTCTGATTTTATACCCTACCTTCACTTCATAGTCTTGTAGGTTGATTAACTTCCTTGCTTTACCCCTGCCCAGTTTAACATTCCATCCCTATTCTGCTGTGTCTACTTCCAACTCTCTTATATCTTTATTGGGTCTGAATTGTACCAGTTTTTTGGAAATGTTTCCTCTACCTGTGATCATTCTTTTCTCTTTTCGTCTCCACGTTTGGACGTTTGTCATGTTTTCCAAGTTGAATTCCAAAGTTATTTTGCTTCCTTCTTCGACTTCCGTTACATATTTATGTTTATTCGACAGTTCTTGCACTTCAAACTCTGCTATGTTATCCTGATTACTCATGCGCTTGATAAATTTAAGGCCTACTGAAGGTGTTGACTGTCCTTTGTCTGTTGCCCAATCCCCTGTTTCCCATTTAATCTCACCTTATACGCTATCTATCATCTCTCCAAGTTTTTTTTCTAGGTTGTGGCACCCTTTGAGTTGTTGTCTTAGCTCTGAGGTTGTCTTCCATCTCCTCCCCTCTTTTTTCCACATGTGTTCTATTGTCCATATTCCCCTCTCTACCCATTTTCTCCATCTTCTGCCTTTGCATGTTAAGCCGCCAGTACCTTTCCCAGGCAAAGACAAATTGCCCGCTGGTTAACACGGAGGCCAGCCCCGGGCACGCGCACCGGCCAGATACAACCCAAATGCTTGGCATGCAGAGCCCGCAGCCGGCATATGGGAAGGTACTGGCGGTTTAAGGACCACGGTCTGTCTTTTCAAATCCACAATGAGGGAATTACAGAAGAGTGGTTGTCTCAACACTTCTTTTCTTTTTGGTTTTCTGACCCTTTCAGGGCAGGCCTCTCTCCAATGATTAATGAGTGTGCTCCAGTGCCTGCTTGGGGGGTCTTTATTTGTTTGTTGGTTGTTATTCCCTCTATTGGTTGCTTTCTGTCCTTGGGGCTCATGCTGTGTTCATTATCCGGTGGTATCCTTCCATTTGTGGGCCTACTTGAAAAGGCACTATGTTTTGAATCTGGTATAGGGCCATGTCATGCCAAGGTAACTCCTTGTGAAGGAGTATTCTAATTATGCATTTAGTTTGTAGCGCATTGTATTCACTTGCTGGGTTTAACAGCCCCAAGCGTCCTTTTTTTAGGGGTCTGGTTACATATTTCCATGCAACTTTTGGGATTACTACAGTTCCTAACCCTGTCAAAGATCAGTTTCACCGGTCAGTATATGGAAAAAAAAGGGGAGAGAGAGAGAGAGGGGGGGGGG